GTGACTGCCGATATCCTTGGCTTGTTATTGAAGATACGGGAAGCGGATACACATTTTGTGTCGAGCACTCTGCAAATTCGCGATCTCTGTTCTATATCCGCGGGGACCCGCATCCTCAGAGATGGAGGATGCTCCGGTCTAGGCCCCACGCCCCACCTGCTGCAGGAATTCCAGCTGTAACTGCCAAGAGCCGGCGTCTGGGGTCCCCTTTTTATAATGGGCACCTTTTATCCCCGACATTCGCTTGGTCATGAGAATGGGATCCAAGACTGGAGTCAGGGATTCTAGGGCAAGGGATTGTTTCTAGAAAAGCCAGCAGGATTACGGGATCAAGGGAGGCTTCGCTGCGCCCTTTGTTTTTTGGCTGTTGCATCATCAGAGCTGACGGCTCTGCTGAGTCCAAATCCCAAACCTCGGCCCAAAACATTCCAGTGAAGCGGCCCGCCGGAGGGGGGTGTGTGTTGTGCGTGACGGTTTGGTTGCTCGCTCGCCTTTGAACGCGCTAAAAGGATGGGCCGCAGACTGGAATCCAAGGCTCTTAGGCCCCACGGCCCCTGGGGAAGGGACCAAGGCTTTTCCCACTGCCGCAGGGAGCAGTGGGGAGCTCAGACTTGCTCAGTGGAAGGGTGGGAAGGGAGCTGGAGCCAATGGCCACTATCTGAAAGCACGTAACAGGCAGCTGTGGGTGGCAGGGATCACACTGGACTAGGTGGTCTGGGATTCCACGCTTGACTCTTGGGCCAGTCACAGTATCTCTGCCTCAGTTTCATCCTCTGTGAAATGGGGATAGCGACACTGCCCTGTGTCAAGTGCACTGAGATCTAGGGAGCTCTGGATAAGACGCAGCTATTATTTCTCCATCTGAGGGGCTCGCGCTGCTGTTACGAACACCAACACCGCAGCAAGGGCAGGGAGGGATTTTTATCCCCATTTTACAATGAGGAACACAGAGCACAGAGGGATTAAATGAGGGGACCCCTGCCCCATAGGAAGTCCATGTCAGAGGCAGGACCAAAACTCAGATCTCCTACGATTTAACCATGAGACCGTCCTTAGCATCACCTCGATGCATAGGGCAAGGTGGGTGCTTACCACCATTGGAGTGGGGCACCGAGCAGGGAACACGGGTGGGTCGTGCCCCCAGAAGCCACACAGTACTATGAACGCCTCTCCAGCTCTTGCAGCACCAATCCAACGGCTTAGGGACATAAAGCCAGCAGGAGAGTGGCACAG